AACATGATCCCCATGATCACTTAAATTTAAATGTTTGACAACCGACCCACATTTATAATGGTTGCAGGTCCCTGGGGTTGTGTGATTCCCATTTTGCACCTTTTGACAAGCAAAGTCAATGGGGAAGCTAGATTCACTTAACAACCATGTTACTAACTTAACAACTGTAGTGATTCACTTTACAAGAAAGGTTGTAAAATTGGGCAAAATTTACATAACAAATGTTTCGCTTAGCAACAGAAATTTTGGGCCCAATTGTGGCTGTGTTGAGGACTTCCTGTGGTCATTGATGGTGAATGATGGAGATTCAGGTTTATGGTCGCTGGAGCAGAGAGTTTTACTTTAGAGCGTTAGGAATTATGATGTGAGGATTTTGATGACCATCTGACTATTGCAAACGTACAGATTCTAATAAACTGTATTAAAATCAGATAATATGTAACTTCACTTCTCCATGAAACTGATGAATTATGTATGTTTATGGCAAATGTGTAACAGTGGAAGAATATTTTGCTGATCAGAAAAAAAACCCCCCCCGTATATTATTTTTTAATGTGTCTTTCTAGGAAAATAGATAGTTTCTAGGAAAGAACCCTAGGATTTGGCAGAGAAAATATATCTTGATGGAGATATTAACAGTACATTTAATAATAAAGTGCCATTTAAAAATTATGAGTCACCCTAGAATTTTAAGAAGTAAATAGCAATAAGAAAATTTGCAGCTCAGCCTTGTTTTTTGAAAAAAATTAAGGAGATTTGTTTGTGTGTGTGTGTGTGTGTGTGTGTGTAACACTTGCTCAATCCATTTATAAAGCTGGACATTTTTGAGAATAATCTAAAAGCATCTGTTTTGGATCTCACATAATTACAAGGTCTGTTTTCATTACAAAATTAGTGGTTCTTCACTAATCTATGAGCCTAAAAAATGACTATGATTGTTTAAGACATATTTATTGTATTCTTAAAGCATTCTTTAAGAATACAATATTCTTAATTTGAAGAGTTAGTTAATGTTTTAATGACAGCCTATACCATTTAGACTATTCCTACATGCTACTAATGGAACCAATTTCACAGATTATATATAGTTACCTACTATTTTATATAGATAGTCCTTGACTTGTGACCACACATGAGACCAAAATTTCTGTTGCTAAGTTTGTTACGTGAGTTTTGTTCCATTTCATGTCTTTTCTTGCTCCAGTTGTTAAGTGAATTACTGTAGTTGCTAAATTAGTAATACAGTTGTTAAGTGAATCTGGCTTCCCAATTAACTTTGCTTGTCAGAAGGTCGCAAAATGTGATCATGTGACACAGTAACATTGCAACTATCATAAATACATGCCAATTGCCAACCATCCGAATTTTGATTATATGACCATGGGGATGCTGCAATGGTCATAAGTGTGAAAATGGTTTATATTGTAAGTCATGTTTTTCAGTATCATCATAACTTCAAGTAGTCACTAAATAAATAGTTGTAATCTGAGAACTACCTGCAGTGATACAGATATTGTGGGGGAGGAATATAGAACTGCTTAAAGTCACCTCTATGTGAAATGGGTGGCATATAAGTTTAATAAACAAACAAACAAACTCCCTTTTAAACCCTGTAATCCTTTTATTCAGGATAGAGTGACTAGATGGAGATGAGCATTTACTGGCTGGATATCCTTCCTGACTCCTACATGGAGTTCACAGCAGATATTTTCTCTGCTGTGAACTCCACTGCATAGGATTGAACTCTCAATTTTCCAAGTGGGAACCGAGTGCCACCATGCTACTTTAAATAAATAAATAAATAGCCTATTAGCATTTTTTGCCTGAAGATTGTTATCTTGCAAATTACCCACATAAATCTGTGGACATTTACTAATTTGCTGGAAACCAATATGTCAACCGTCAGCAGCATACTTATCCATGTTTTTAGTGGCATAAACATTCCTGCATATTTTGACTCCTAGTAACTCTTGAACAAGAGTCCCAAAATAATGCAAGGAACAAAAATAACCAAGGCCCCACATAACAATTGCATCATAAAACAAAGACTGTGATAATTAAGGATCCTTTGTAGGTTTGAAAGACTGACTTTCAAACCTACTTATTCGCAACCCCAGAGTTAGTACCTGCAAGAGATAAGGTCCACTTACCTGCCCAAAGGAGTGGATGCTTATTGATCTGTGGGAAGCTGATTTTGGATAATAGCCATGGAAAAGTTGGTAGTTTTCAGAAAATTTGAAATGTGGAAGGAGGTCAGAGGATATCTTACAAACTATCTTGCTGAAATAGCATGCTAGGCTGGTAATATTTTTCAGCGCTCACAGGCTCCTATTTTTTCACGCCTTGGCTGCAATCCCTGTAAATTCACTGTGTTTCTTTTGCCCTTTGGAATAGGATTTTAGGGATTACTTTAAAGGAGGGCAGGTATCTTGGGCTATAATTGCTTCTGCAGAATGCAAAATGGCTTTGCAGAATAGTTTCCATGTTCTAGCTTCATGACTAGAAATTCAGGACAGAATTTATGAAATCCTGTGAAAGTTTTGACTGACTTTGACCTGACTAGGCTAGAAAATTCATTAAAAGAAACTAACTTTACTTACCGGTAAATTCTCTTTTGACTGTTAAGCTGATCTATAACAAAATATACATTACTCCTGAGAAGCCTTTCTGCTTTTAGGGAGGAGGGATGTTCATGGATAGATATGGGGCATTAATAAAAAATCAAATCTATGCCAGTAAAAAATTAGCACCTAATAGCCCTGAGTTCAACATAGCCCAGTCTCTAAGATTTTGCTTTATCACATGCAAAGAGCTTGTTGCATGTGATTCAGAAGACGTAAACCAGTTCCTGGGTGGGCAACTGAACATCTAATTCTATTCTGCATCATTGAGCTGTGATGGTGCAGTGGTTAGAATGCAGTATTGCAGGCTGACTCTGCCAACTGCCAGGTGTTCAAACCTGACCTGCTCAAGGTTGATTCAGCCTTCCATCCTTCCAAGGTTGGTAAAATGAAGACCCAGATTGTTGGGGTAATATGCTGACTCTCTAAACAGTTTAGAGAGAGCTGCAAAAACACTGTGAAATGGTATATTCAACTTTAGGTCTATTGCTACAATCCTATACCTGGTTTATTCATGGGGAGAATGAAGTGGTAGATTCTTCCAGTGGTTTCTCCTGGATATCAATCTGCAGATTCAGATGCCATTCCCTCCCCCTCCCAGTTTTGGCAAGCTCGGCGGGAGAAAAACCTTCTGGGTTAACTTTCTATTTTCGGATAAAAATATGACATAGCAGTCATAGTACAGAAAGAACTATAGAAATTGGAGGAAACTACTGTACACAACATAAATTATGGCGTGCACTATTGACAGCCATTCTCAGAAATTCTGAAAGTTCTTAAAATGATACTGCAAATTCTGTAATCCTGTCACAGATATTGTAGTTATGCCTTATAAGCATTTTCTTACATTATTTTAAAAATTAGCATTCCTTTTATTGCTGCATATTTCAGCTCACCCCTTAATCAGCCTATAAAGAGTGCCTCCAACACCCTTCTCTTTCTGTCACCTATGCTGTAGTGATTTTGCCTTGCACAGGCTTGCTGAATGGGGCGAGCATGAAAAGATAGCTGGCATTGCTTTTTTATCTTTTATCTATCCTGTAGAGGCATGAGATGGCTCCTTGCACATTCCTTTCTGCCAGAGTCATGCTGTTTTGCTTTATAAGCACCTTGTCACATCCAGAGATAGCTAAGTTCTACTCAACACCATCACACCCAACGTGAGGAAAGGGAAAAAAATGGATGGGAAGAATGCTTGAAAGAAAAGTGGCTACTTATCGACTGCAAAAACAGTGCATCATTTCTGGGCATAATAAATGCTTCGGACATTCTTTGGTTATTCTAAGCTGAGGTAGCCAAGTTTAGCAGAACTTCCTGCTGTGTAGGAAAGTAGAATCCAAAATACAAAGAGTTCCTGGATCTCTCCCTTTAGTGGTCTAGTCCAGGAGTCTCCGCACTTGGCAACTTTAAGACCCAATTCCCATAATTCCCCAGCCACAATGGGGATGGCGGTGTCAGCTAAGGGGAAAGGAGAGGTAGGTAATCTTGATCTCATCCTTTCCGATTCCAGGGTGAGGCCACAGACTTCTCTAATGGATCGGTAGGACCACAAGAATAGCCTGACTGGGTCAAGCCAAGATCTCTTTTATCCCAGTCGTTTGTTTATAGATGGTCCTCAACTTACGGCCACAATTTAGCCCAAAATTTATGTTGCTAATGGAGACAGTTTTGCCAACATTTTTACAACCTTTCTTGCCACAATTGTTAAATTGTTGAATCACTGCAGTTGTTAAGTTAATAACACATTTGTTAAGTGAATATGGCTTCCCCCATTCACTCTGCTTGACAGAAAGTCACAAAAGGGGATCAAATGACCCATCATAAATATGAATCAGTGGCCAAGCATCTGACTTTTGATTACATAACCACGTGGGTGCTGCAGCAGTGATAAGTGTGAAAAATGTCATAAGTCACTTTTTTCAGTGCCATTGTAACTTAGAACAGCCACTAAGCAAACTGTTATAAATCAAGGACTATTCAATACCCATAATCCTTTCCAGTATATGTCATATTTATTTTTGCCTATTACTATATGCATAAATGTTAAGTTACTGTATATAAATATACTCCATGTTGTTTTTCAATCTTAATGCTACATGAATGCACCCCTGATACATCCTAAATAGTCTAGACTCTCCTGGTGGCCTCCTGTCCCAGTGTCCAGATAGTATCAACCGGGTATCTATCCAGATGTAGAAAAAAAAGCATATAAGGAAGGATGAATTCTAGCTTAGACACAACTCTTGATGTGCCAAAATATCATGCATCCAGGCAGTTTTGAACACTTCCTTATTCAGATTGATAAAGGGGGTCACATTTTTTCAGCTTGCACCTTTTGTAAATTAAAAACACGTATTGATTGCTGCATTTCTGTTACAGAAAACTACTTCATTAAAGAGGGCACAACAGAACCATTACTGTGCGGCAACAGCACAGATGCTGGGTGAGTTTGATTTGATCATATTTTGAAAAAGAATGACAAACCTCTGTTGTTATAACTAGATCTTCTTAGTTTCTGTAATATAGTGCAGAAACCACGATTACGTCATATATGTTGCCATGTCATTGTGCAAATAATGTAAATTATATAATTCTATTTATTTGGACAGTGATATCTCAATATGTGTGATCTCACTTCTCCCCTAGCCCTTTACAGATTTATTTGATAACTTCTTTGTTGGTATTTTTGCATAGAATAAGTTTCTAAAATAAATTTAAAAAGTTCCTGGGTATTTTATAACCGGTCTTTGGAAACTTGGTTAGATATTTTATTTTTTTATTTTTTATTTATTCTTAGACTTCTATGCTATCCATTTTGCCAAGGCGACTCTAAGAGTCATATAGTTAAAATACCATGTTAAATATTAAAATGTTAACACATTAAATAAGAACCTCACAATTTAAAAATTCTGATAAAATGTGTTTAACCATGATGGAAAGAAAAGGAGCAAAGACCATAGGGAGGGGAGATGGGTCTGATTACAAGTAGTCCTTGACTTACGACCACAATTAAGCACAAAATTTCCATTACTAATCAAGATAGTTAAGTGAGTTTTGCCCCTCTTTACGAACTTTCTTGCCACAGTTGTTAAGTGAATCATTGCAGTACTTAAGTTAGTAACATGGTTGTTAAGATAATCTGGCTTTCCCATTGACTTCGCTTGTGCGAAGATTGTAAAATGTGGTCACACAAAGTTGAGACACTACAAACATCATAAATATGAATCAATTGACAAGCATCCTTTGATTATGTGACCCTGGGGACACTGCAATGCTCATTAAGTGTGAAAAACAGCCATAAGTCACTTTTTTGAGAGTTGTTGTAACATTCAAACAGTCACTAAACCAGGGATGAAATCAATATTTTTTTACCACCGGTTATGTGGCGTGGCTTGGTGGGGTCATGTGACTATGCAGTCATGTAACTGGGGGATCAAAAGACAGAAACTCACTTTAACAATGTCCTGCTGGACATTGGACATCCACGGTTGGACTAGATGATCTTCAGGTCCCTTCCAGGCCTGGATTATCCTCTGAAGCTGCATCTAGTGCCAGGTTTGTAGTCCTTCCTTCCTCTCTCTCCCTCTCTCTCTCTCAGCACCCCCACCCCCATTTTTGGCCTAGTAGGCTTTGCCTACCCTCACCCCCGCGTTTCCGGAGAACCTGTAGTAAAAAAATGTGATTGTTGGAACTTTAAAAAAAAAACTTTTGTTAGCATTTTCTACTACTGGTTCTGTGAACCAGTAGCATTTTTTAGTACCGGATCAGGCAAACCGGCCCGAACCGCTAGCATTTCACCCCTGTACTAAACCAATGGTTGTAAGTCGAGCACTACCTATAGATTATGTTTCTCGATCTCTCCAGTTCTCAGAAATTTTAGGTGGGATCCAAACTATTGTAGCTGAGGTGATCCAGACTAAATTAGTTGAATTTAATTGCACTGAAATGTAATTTAAATGTATGCATAACTTACTGCATGAATTTCAGTAAATAAAATACAATAGACTCTGATGGCTGTTTTCTTGGAAATAGAGTTCACTAAGTTCAATGAGACTTACTTTCTACATTGATTTCCTTGGAAAGTACAACATTATGTATGCTTATTTGAAAGTACTTTAAAAATTTGAAGTCCAGTAAGGCTAATGGTTAATTGTTGTGTTTCTGACTGCTTCAATTCAATGGAGCAGTTCATGATTGTTAGTTCAGCTCTAGATGGCAGTCACACTTCAAAGGGTCAATGCAAATGGCAAAGATGGTCATCCAGTCATGATAATAATATTACGTGCAGAAAAAGATCAGGTTAAGTTGCTAATATTTTTTCAAAGTCTGTATTCCTAGTATTATACTCCTCTTCCTCCTCCATCAGGAACTAGTGAATGTGCTTGTCCTGGCATTCAATTAATAATTAAAAAAGGAGAATGCTAGAAAAGAGAAGGGAACATAAGAAAAAAATTGAGACATGAGAGAAAAGCAAGAATGGAAATGATGCATGATTAATTCCAGCATTGTTGCTTTCAAGAAATGCAGCATATTTTAAAGGTCTTTGAAAAATATGCCTATGATGAAATTTTAAAAGAATTTCCATGGCATAATTTTAAAGGAATTTCTAAGGAAATCTAAATGGCACAGTTGCCTTGAAATAAAAAATAAAGCTGACATAAAACTATTGTGAGGTGTATAAAAAGATTCTCCATTGTGTAGAGTTTGAATTAAGGAGGTTCTGATGAAAGATTACAAGGTGCTTCGGAGCAAGGATAGACATATTACTCAATTATGTATTTTTGTCTACAGATAATCCTCGACTTACATCCATTTGCTTAGTACCATTCAAAGTTACAACAGCACTGAAAAAAGTGACTTGCAACCGGTTCTCGCATTTACAATGCCATCCCCCATTGTCACATAGCACTTAGACTTATATAACGCTTCACAGTGCTTTACAGCCCTCTCTAAGTGGTTTATACAGAGTCAGCCTATTGCCCCCAACAATCTGGGTTCTCATTTTACCCACCTCAGAAGAATGGAAGGCAATCTTGAGCCTGGTGAGATTTGAACNATCTATCTATCTATCATCTATCTATCATCTATCTATCTTATCATCCATCTATCCATCCATCCATAATACAGAATAACAGAGTTGGAAGGGACCTTGGAAGTCTTCTAGTTCAACCCCCTGCTAAATCAGGAATCCCTATACCATTTCAGACAAATGGTTGTCCAATCTCTTTTTTTAAAAAAACTTCAAGTGTTGGAGCAGTCACAACTTCTGGAAGCAAGTTGTTCCACTGATTAATTGTTCTAACTGCCAAGAAAATTATCATTAGTTCTAAGCTGCTTCTCCCCTTGATTAGTTTCCATCCAGTATTTCTTGTCCTGCCTTCAGGTGCTTTGGAGAAAAGGTTGGCTCCTTCTTCTTTGTGGCAAAGCCTTAGATATTGGAAGACTGCGATCATGTAACCCTACTCTTTCTGTTTATTAAACTAGACATATGCAATTCCAGCAACTGTTCCTCAGCCACTAAACACCAGGCCTTGTCTTTGGCAGAAGCACTTTGTGATCTATGCACACTTCAAAAGAACTGCACTGGATCACACCAGCACTCCTTGAAGCTCAGCAACCTGCCATTCACAATGGCCAACTGTAAACAGCAAGCAACTTTGCAAGCCACCACAGGTGTATATCTTATGCTTCTCAGCTCTTTTATTTTTGGAATTTTTGGATCCTCCTCTGAAAACAACAGCAACACTGGAGTGGGCTGTGCACAGTGGTGGGTTGCAGGAGGTACACCCCGGTACGAGTGTACTGGAGCCTGCCTGGAGCACCGGCTACCATTCCAGTATAGTGGTCTGAAAGGTCCACCTGTCCACCCGAGTTCCTTACCTGTCCTTTAAAGCTTCGGTGCTTCCGCACATATGCATGGCACATTCAGTACCTGCGTGATGCTCCACCGGAGTGTTGTGGAGGCTTGTGGAGGCGTCACTGGAAGGTACGATGCATGCACATGCCACACACATTCATGTGGAGGATGCTGGGCCCCATTGCAACCATACCGGTTGCAACGGGATCCGGAATACACCACTGCTATGCACCCAAATGTGCAAAAGATGAAAATCGGTTGTTGCTTTTGGAGACTTGGGTGGGCAGATTCGTGTTCAACTATTTCTGATTCATTTCTGCAAGAAAAACTCTCCTCCAATTCTTCAAAGGAGCAAACTCAGCCAAAATAAATGAGAAGAGCCTTAGCTGCAGGGTGTACTTTATTCCAGCTGGCAAGAAATCAGAGGAAGGGGAAGAACCTATTTATTTATTTATCTATCTATCAGGGGTAAAGCTACAGAAACACGCACATATACACGTATCTTCTTTATTACCCTGTCGAGTATACACCATTAAAATAAGCACATACCTTAAATAAAGAAGCATATGAGATATCATTCAAGTCACTCACAGTCAAGTCAGTTTCTTAGCCTTGGGTATCTCAGTCTAACTGGAATCTCAGTCTTCTTATCTGCCTCTTCTCCTGAGAGATTTTGATCTTTATCTGCTGCATTGCAGGCAGTGCTGAGATGCAATAGCTGTTCAGAGTAGCTTGCTTTGCTTTCTTTGATAGATATTCCCATTAACAATAATGAATAGATATGCCAAGGAACGTTCTCTAAGGAACTGCAAAGCAGTTGGCATTCTGCAAACTTTCCAATTACATCAGATTTCATGGTTTCCTTCTTCTACCCCTCCCCCACCCAATCCACAGAACATGGATAAAGGTGGAATGGGAAAGATTACATTCTTTTTTGATAGATATTTTATTAATAGCAAAAGCACTTAGACTTATATACTGCTTCATGGTGCTTTACATAGTGCTTCACAATGTCAGTATATTTTCCCCAACAATCTGGGTCTTCATTTTACCGATCTTGGAAAGATGAAAGACTGAGTCAACGTTGAGTCGGTCAAGATTGAACTACTGGCAGTTGGCAGAATTTGTCTGCAGTACTGCATTCTAACCACTACACCACCACAGCTCTTTAAATATTACAATTAGAAAGCTGAAACCTAAAAACAACAAAAAATACAAACTAAAAAAATATATAAATAGAAAATGCAGAAAATGAAAAAAAAATAACAGTACAGTAAATAAAAAGGAAAAATGTATAGAGAAATGTCTTTCCTTTTCATCAGTATAAACAATTCTAGTAACATATCTCCTCTTAAAATAAAACAAATGATTGGTTTATTATTTGTATATCCTTTTACTTATTTAGATAACAGCTAGTTTCTTTTTTATGTCCAATGTAGCAATGTATCATTCTTGTAGCCTATCATTTTTAAATAGTTTCAGATCAATCTCTGTCTTGACTGATATAATCTGTTCCTCTTTCAAAACTTTTTTTGAAAATGTCTATAAAGGTAGACACTATTAAAATTAACATCTGAGTCTGTTGT